GTGAGCCGTTTGGTGATGAGACGCAGAAAGCGGCCCCTAGCCCGTCGCGACGGGGGACAAAAGTCGCCTTCACACATGATTTCACTCCACCGACCATGGAAGGCTTCGTGGATGAGAGTCGGATCGGTCGTGTAGCTACCGTCTTGTAGTTGTACCTCTCCAATGGGCACATTAAATTGTCGCCTTTTAGGCGGCCAAAAGAAGTGTGTAGTCGACACTTCGTTGTGGGAGGCGTGAAAGTCAAACTGGAGGTCGTTCTGAAGCTGTCGCCACTCAGCTATAACCGATTCGTATGCCACCATTGAGGTGTGGGGCTGGTCGGCTATCATCCAACCCGACTTATGAGCCCGTTGTACACACGACCGCCCCCTCTCGGCTACGTCCATAGTGTGGGTCCTTTGGGCCAAGAGTTGTGTGTGGTATGCTTTGAGGAACTGCTGAGTGCGTTTTTTCCACCCAGCCCACACGACTCCGACATTTGCAGCTGTACTGAGTTGTGTGAGGAGAGTCTGCGCCTCCGACCGAATCATAGCCGTCACCTTGGGGATTCGCTGAAGTCCTTTGAGAAGCTTCCAATACGACCGTGATCGTTCCCCAGCCACAGGTAACAATGTCAGCGCGTGGCACAGGTGGTCAGTGGGGTCAGGGCACTGAAAGTAAGTGACCGATCGATACGCCATCTGGACAACTGGGACTCTTCGGGAAAATTCTACGTCGGGTGTTTGAGTAGCTTGTGACCAATATGACTTGGGTATGACTCATCTAGTTTTGACAGAAAATTCAATTTTGGAGTTACTGAGCAGTGATGTACACAGTATTTGGAACAATGATAGTACTCCAAGTTACTCGCTGAAAAAATGAATATTCTTTAATTGACAATGGTTTGCTTGTGGAGTTATTGATGACGTTTTTGTAGGTGCGAACTTTTACATCGAAAACGGTCGAGTGTACATTTTCGCTCAAAAATTAGAAATGTTTCTGAATATTGATAAGATCAGAATAAATTGCAGATTTTGGTT